TTCAAAAATGAACTTCTCGGGTAAAATGACCTTCAGATGGCTCAAATCTAATTAAAATAATTTTAAAGTACAAATAAAACTCATAAGAGACTATTCCGGATCATAAAGTCTCAATCTTTATCAAAATCTAAATATCAGTCCAAAAGTCGACCCCTGGGCCAATACCTTGGAACCCGACAAATTTCACAAAACCCGAACACTCATTCCGATATGAGTTCAACCATACTAAAAATATAAATTCTGATACCAATTCGTCCCTCAAATCATGATTTTTCATTTTGAAACGTTTCTTCAAAAACCTCCATTTTTCCCAACTCAAAACAAAATTAAATGATAAAAATAAAGATAAAATCATGGAATAAAATAAATTCTAGGTGAAGAACACTTTCCCAATTGATTTTCTTAAAAAACCCACAAAGAAGCACTCAAAACCGAGCTCTAAAACTCCAAAAATAGTGAAAATGGCAAACCCTCGAAATAGAGTACTATTTATTATACCCAGGAGTTTGTGCATCGCGAACGCGGAAGAGCAATTGCGTTCGCGAAGAAGAAAAATGAAAGCTACCCAGTTGTTCTTCGCAAACACGACAACACGTTCGTGAACGCATAGAGGAAACGTCTGATGGCCCAACGACTGCTCTTCGCGAACGCGTGAAGTACGAAGAGTGGAATGGCATAGCTACGCGAATGCGTGGGATGGACGCGAATGTGATAAAGGAAAAGGTTGGCTTCCGCAATCGCGGAATGAGGAATGCGAACCCGAAGAACAAATATTCCCTCCTCCAAATTTACTCTTCGCGAATGCGGAAGAGCAGACGCGAACGCGAAGGAGAAAACCAGATGACAGATATCAGTAGTTCAAAATAGGAGGAAAATGACCTGTGGCCCACCCGAAACACACAAACAAGTTGTATAACCTAACACGGACTCGCTCGAGGTCTCAAATTACAACAAACAATGGCAAAACTACGAATCGAACTTATGAACTTTCAAAACATCCAACTTTGAAAACTCGTGCCGAAACCAATCAAATCAACCCGAAATGACGTCAAATTTTTCATGAAAGTTCCAAAATAACATAACAGAGTTGTTTCAACTCTCGGAATTGCATTCTGACCCCGATATCAAAAAGACCACTTCCGGTCCAAATCTCCAAAAATTTGACTTTTGCCATTTCAAGCCTAAATGAGCTATAGACCTCCGAAACACAATCCGGACATTCCCCTAAGTCCAAAATCACCCAATGGAACGAACGGAACTAACGTAACTCCATTCCGGAGTCGTCTTCACACAGTTCCGACTACGGTCAAAATCCTAAAACTTAAGCTTTCGTTTTAGGGACTAAGTGTCACAAATCACTCCGAATCATCCGGAAAGTGAATTCAACCATACACACAAGTCAATACACATAATATGAAGTTGCTCAGGTCTTTATGCCGTCGAACGGGACTTAAATTCTCAAAATGATCGGCCAGGTCGTTACAGTAATGAATATGAGAGTTATTTTAATAGTTTCAAAATAATAAGAGTAATTCATTTATAATTATATAATCACTAATCATTGATTAACACTGTTAATTACTTAATTTTATAAAAATAGGTATTATTAATTTGAATGTACATTTAACATGTTAATTGAAAATTAAAAAGTATAAACAAATTAATTTTTAAAAGAAGTGTGAAAATTGGTCACCAACGACTGCCCCTCTTTGATCGAAGATAATAAAAGCGTTTTCGGGCAAAGAAATCGAACCAAGACCAATTTTATACCACGTTTAGGCATATATTGCAGGAATGTCATGTGGATTTAAGGAAGATTATGAGTTGTGGAATTAGGGAAGGAGTTAAGGAAGACTCCGGGAGTGTTTTGGAGAATCAGGGCCAAATTTTGGCTTTGAATTGCTTACATACCTCGGCTTAACGAGGATCAGGCCTTATGTTGTTCTGGAATGATGATTTGGAGGAGGCGATGCTTGCAAAAATTGCCCCAGTATAGTATTATGACGATACTATGAGATGAAAGATTTTGGTACAGATGATAGCTCTGAATTGCAGCTTGATTTGAAAGATTTGATGAATTAGAGTTCTACTGATCGAATTTGAGTTTGAGTTTTAATTCTTGGCCCGCTAATGAGTTTGTTGTTCCTCATAGCATTGTAGCTTGTTTTGCTGCTTAGAAGAAGTTCCACATCATGATGTTTAGTCCTGCAAAACAAAATATACACATACCTGCATATTGTAATGCAGATATGTTAAATGTGATATAAATAATGCAGGAATAATGATGCCTGGCTGCCAGCTAGCCGTTATTTGGGATCGAGACGACAGGATACTTGATTTTGACTTGATTGTTAGCCGGGCTATGTACCATTCTACAGCTACCGGAGCATTAAGTCTCCTCATGTTGGGAGTATCTCCGCACGATGGGAGTAGTTGACTTGTAATGTAGAATATATCTCCGCATGATGGGAGTGTTTCCACGTGGTGTGAGTAGTTGAAATGTAAAGTATCTCCACATGATGGGAGTAGTTGCATCAAAATATAAAGTATCTCCGCACGATGGGAGTTTCTGACATGAAAAATGTAATATGTATGTAAGCTACATGAGCGAAACATCAAAACATTCAAGATAAAATAATGAAATAAGGAGCATGCCCAAGAGGTGCTCTTGAATGCAAACTAATCGCGGCGGTCGATCGGCAGAACGCATGGCGAGATTGGATGACTATCTACTTGTAATCTCTGATATGGCGAAGTGGCGGTGTGGAATGCTCCCATTAGCAAAGCAAACAGTTTGCTATATACAAGGCTTTGGTTAGCAAAGCCGACGAGTCAATTTGTACAGGGTGCTTCGATTGATTGAGCTGAGAGATCGCTATATACATGGCTCTGGTTGGCGGGACCAGCGACTCGCTGTATACAAAGTGCTCCGCTTGGTTGAGAAGACGGTTTGCTATTTACAATATGCTCTGATCGTATCAATGCCTTAGTTCCAAAATACTTGCAAAGGATGTGAGAGTTAGTCTTCAGTTATATGAGGAAAATTTTAAATAATGAAAGAGAGATGATAGTTATGAGAGAGTAGCAGATCCTTCATTGCTCCAGTGTGCCCTAGCATTTCTTTGTATCATGTTGGTCCTGAGTTCAAAGAAAAATTCTTAGCAGGAGGTGCTGGTTTGTGTTGACTATAGTTCTGGCTTTGCCCCGGGCCTGGTTTATGCCATGAAGTTCGGTAGGTGGAATGATAGTTTTTTTTAAGAAAACATTTTTAAAATCATCCATTTTATGGTAGATGCTGGCGTTCCTGATTATAACATGTGTAGAAATTTCCTTAGATGCAAACGTTGTCTCTGGAGGACTATGTCCCATTGGTGTCGATTCTTGGAGATGCCGCTGATGACGTAGCTTCTTTCCGTAGTGATCGCATCCTAATCTAAACAAAATATGTTTTAAATGTTTTCCTATTGTTATGACCGAACCTTTTTAGGTTGCCTACATATTTGAAGTGGAATCAGGTATGATCGTAGTTTGTGGGTAATAACAAATAAATTATGATGATAACCGAGCCTGACTCAGGTAGCATATGTATCCAAATAGAATCAGGTCAAAACATAGTTCGATTATAATAGATCCAAAATGATGGGAAATTGAAAAATGAAGTGGCATAGTATGACTCAAACTGCCTACGTATCCAAATGGAATCAGGCCAGAACGTAGTTCAATTACAATAGATGATTGAATCTAATAAGGATAGCCTATGTATTTCTATCTTGGTAAATCAAGTCATGGCATAGATCCGAATACATACAAAGTGATATTTCGATTTTCTATTACGAAAGAAGAAGGGGAGAGAGACCGGACCCTACGTGGGTTGCCTACGTATCCCGCCATGGGAAGTCAGGTTGGTCGTAGTTCTGTTACAACCAAAACCAAACTCTATTGTCTTCAAATGTAGTATCTCTTGATTGCATCTAAATTGATAGACTTCATGCCGACTCTTCTGCCTATTTCTGCTAAGATCTGAGCTCGTCCCGACAATACTCGGTGGAACACGTAAGGACCTTTCCAATTTGGCGCAAACTTTCCCTTGGCTTCTTCTTGATTAGGGAATACCTCATTAAGACCAATTGCCCTGGTGTAAATTGACAAGGTTTCACCCTTTTTTTGAATGCACTGGCTATTTTATTTTGATACAGCTGACCATGGCACACTGCGTCTATTCTTTTCTCATCAATGAGCATGAGTTGCTCCCGCTTGACTTGTATCCATTCTGCATCATCTAACTTGGCTTCCTAAATGACCCTTAAGGATGGTAGCTAAACCTATGCGGGTATCACAGCTTCGGTGCCATATACCAACATATATGGCGTTGCCCCAGTGCATGTTCTCATGGTGGTCCGATAACCTAACAGGGCAAAGGATAATTTTTCGTGCCATTGCCTATGGTTATCCACTATCTTTCGTAAGATCCATTTGATATTTTTGTTGGTTGCTTACTGCCCCATTCATTTTCGGCCTGTAAGTTATGGAGTTACGATGGAGATTCTAAATTTCTCACAAATCTCCACCATGATATCATCATTGATATTGGATCCATTGTTAGTGATGATTGATTCAGGTATCCCAAATCGGGAGACTATGTTTTTACGGACAAAATCTGCCACTACTTTGTTCGTGACGACCTTGTATGTAGAAGCTTCGACCCATTTGGTGAAGTAGTCAATGGCTACCAAGATGAAAAAGTATCATGTTTATGCGGCGGGCTCTATAGGTCCAATTACGTCTATGCCCCAAGTGGAGAACGGCCAAGGTGAACCCATTACATCCATCTTATTTGGTGGAACCAAGATGAAATCCCCGTGGATCTGGCACTGGTGACACTTATGTACGTAGCGAATGCTATCACTCTCCATGGTCATCCAAAAGTATCCGGCTCTTAAAATCTTCTTGGCTAAGATGAAGCCATTCATGTGAGGTCCACATGTCCCTGCATGTACTTCTTATAGAAATTTGGTTACTTCAGCAGCATCTACACATCTTAACAAACCCAAGTCTGGGGTTCTCCTATATAGGACTTCCATGTTGAGGAAAAAGTGATTCTCTAGCCTTCTGAGCACTAGTTTCTGACCATTGGTGGCATTATCTGGGTACTCTTTTGTTTCTAGAAACCTCTTGATGTCGTAGTACCACAGCTTACCATCCGGCTCTTCATCTACATGGAAGCAGTACGCATGCTGATCCCCGACCTCTATCTCAATATGATCGACGTAATTCTTATCTGGATGCTGGATCATGGATGACAAAGTTGGGAGAGCATCGGCAAATTCATTATAGATTCTGGGAATGTGTTTGAACTCGATCTTGCTGAACTTCTTGCACAATTCCTTTACGCAATGTAGGTACGAAAGGATCTTGACGTTCTTTGTAGTCAATTCTCCTTGGACTTGATGTATCAATAGATCAGAATTTCCTATGGCCAGAAGCTCCTTGATGTTCATGTTGACTGCCATCTTAATCTCGAGGATGCACGTTTCATACTCGGCCATATTATTGGTATAGGGGAACCTTATCTTTGGTGATGCTAGGTAATGCTGTCCTGATTCTAAAATTAGGACTACCCTAATTTCGACTCCTTTGAAATTTTCTACTCCGTCGAAGAGCATTCTCCATCCTGGGTATTACTCTATGATGTCTTCTCTGGTGAACAACACTTCTTCATCCAGAAAGTATGTAGTGAGCAGTTCGTAATCCTTGTCCACAAGGTTCTTTGCAAGGTGGTCAGCTAAGGCTTGTCCTTTGATAGCCTTCTGTATTACGTACATAATGTCGAACTCGTTGAGAAGAATCTGTCATTTGGCCAGTTTTCCTGTTGGAATCAGATTCTGAAAGATGTACTTGAGCGGGTTGAGCCGGGATATCAGATGTGTGGTGTATGCCGCCATATAGTGCCTCACCTTCTAGGCGATCCAAGTCAAAGCACAACAGGTTCATTCTATCAAAGTGTATTTCGCTTCACGTGGTGTAAACTTCTTGCTCAGGTAGTAGATAGCCTGCTCTTTCTCCCGGTCTCATCGTGTTGTCCCAAAACGCATCCAAATGCATTGTCCAAAACTAACAAATATAATAATAATGGATTTTAGAGCTCAGGAGGAACCAACACTAGTGGATTTGACAAATGCTCCTTGATCTTGTTGAAAGATTTCTGACAGTCTTCTATCCATTTCGTAGCGGCATCCTTTTTCAGCATCTTGAAGATAGGCTCGCAAATTACCGTAGACCGGGCTATGAATCTGCTGGAAGTAATTTAACCTAACAAGAAAACACAACACGTCCTTCTTGCTCTTGGACGACGGTAGGTCTTTAATGGCTTTAGTCTTTGAAGGATCCAATTCTATCCCTTTCCTGCTCACAATGAAACCTAACAGTTTCCTGGCGGGGACTCCAAATGCACATTTTGTGGGGTTCAACTTTAGACGGTACCTCCGCAAATGTTCAAAAAACTTCTTCAGGTCCTCCAAATGCTCTGCACTCTTTCGAGATTTGATAATGACGTCGTCCACATATACCTCAATCTCTTTGTGGATCAAATCGTGAAAGAGGGTCGTCATGGCCCTCATGTAAGCAGCAACAACGTTCTTGAGGCCGAACAACATGACTCTGTAGCAATAAACTCCCCAAGGCATAGTGAACACTATCTTCTCCGCGTCTTCTTCATGCATCAGAATCTGATGGTACCCGGCAAAACAATCCATGAATGACTACAGCTCGTGTTTTGCACAATTGTCGATGAGTATATAAATGTTTGCTAAAGGGAAATCATCTTTTGGATTGGCCTTGTTAAGTTCTCGATAGTCCACACATATACTAATCTTCCCATCCTTCTTTGTCACCGGTACGATATTTTCCAACCATGTGGTATAATTGGTGACCCTCACCATGTTTTCCTCTATGTTCTTGGTCACTTCATTGTTTATCCTCAAACTCAAATCCGTCTTGAACTTTCTAGGTTTTTGTTGGACTAGCGGTCTAGCATGATCGGTAAGCAACCAATGTAAAATGATGTCGGTACTCAATCCGGATGTGTCTTCATATGACCACGCGAATACGTCGATGTATTGTTGGAGGAGCTCGACCAGTTCATTTTTTTGCTTTCCTTTAAAATTGATGTTGATTCAAGTTTCTTTCACATCTTCTTTGCTACCTAAGTTGATTACATCTGTATCTTCAAGGTTAGGCTTTTTTAGCTTTCCAACTACTCGATCTCTTGTGGGATATTATATTACATCATGCTTTTGTCGTACTCCTCGTAGTCTAGATCGCTTTGCTCGAGGCTTTTGTTACATGTTATAATCACAGAACGCGGTTTTTTATCTTTTTGATTATTAAAAAGGAAAACTAAGTATAAATTAAATGATAAATAAGTTTGCAATAATTTCAAGAAAGCAATTCTTTTATTTCATCAAAAGGAATGTCTAAGCATTCAAGGAGGCAATTGACAAAAGAGAATAGGCATGGTTCAAGCCTCAATTGACCGTGAGTTGTTTTCCCAAAGGTTTTACAATTCCACACTACCAAGACTCCCGGCAAACCAGGGATGGGCTGGTGGTCTAATTCTATAAGTCCTCTCCTCGTTCGGCATCCTGAATGGTCGGTGTCTTGATATCAACTTTGTCGCAGCATTCCTCGATCATGGTCACAAACAGTGTTCCCATTGATTCAATGATGTTGTCCTCCGGTGTTGAGCTCTGACTTGGACCCAGAACACGCTCTAGCATAAAAGCCTTCTTCCCGAAGCCACCAGTGTATGTCTTTCCAGTTGGAGGCTGATACCCTAAGCCGGCTCTACCTTTCTGTCCCCTTAGCTCAATCGGCTCCGTTATCCCATATGATCGGGCTCTCAGCCCCGTCCCTAGTCGGTACCTGTACTTCATTATTTCTCTTATAGCCATCTTTGATCTGTATGGTGACTGCATACCCAGATTTTGCTCAGTCCCTTATATCTCCCTGGTCTGCATGATCTCGACCGCATGAAAAGCGACATCGTCCAATCCTTCTATGAATGGAACTACACGTTCTAGATAAACTGACTGGCTCCATTCACCATGAACTACAATCTTTTGATAACCCCACTCAAACTTCATGCACTGATGTAGGGTGGATGGAACTGCCCCTGCTATATGTATCCAAGGTCTTCCCAGCAACAAGTTGTATGAGAATGAAATATCCATTACTTGAAATAGTATTGGGAACTCAACTGGTCCAATTTGCAAAGCTATGTAAATTTCCCCAGTGACGTCTTTATGTGACTCGTCGAAAGCTCTCACCCTAACATGGCTTTCTTTCACTTCTCTCAGATGAATACCCAACTCTAGTAGACTACAAAGCGGGCGGATAGTAACTTTGGAACCTCCATCAACAAGTACTCAGGATACCACTTTATCCCCGCGCTTGATGGTAATGTGACTCACACCCTCTACTGGAAGTTCATCTCTTCAGAAGGTAATCATGTTTACTGATGGTTGCTTCCAATGCCTCACTGGTAGTGTTGCTCGGTATGCTCATTCCACTTAACACCTTTATCAAGGCATCTTTATGACTGTCAAAAATCATTAGCAGATCCATGATCGATATATGTGAAGGGGGTTTCTTCAATTTATCGTCCATGGAGTATTCTTTAGCTGGCATCTTCATCCAACATTCTATGGCCTCATCATATGTTATATTCCTCCTATGAATCTATTCCCCTCCTGTATTTCCTCGGGTTACCTCCTCTGTAGCGTAACACCTCATTCGCCTAGTCATTCAATGAGCCGTTGTGGAATCTGTTATCTTGACTTTCTCATTTTGCTGATACGTCCAGGGGACTGTCTTGTATTCCCTATCCTCCTCATTCCTGGTAGTGGCGGTGGACTGTTGCTAGTACGTCTGGACCATCACTGTAGGTTTTAACTGTACAATGATCATCAAAGTTCTTCGGGTTGGAACCCTTGCAACCTCGGTGTTTCCTATTATGACGATAATTCCTTTTAAGTCAGACTCTTCATTCAGGGAGATCATATTAGCTCCTTGATTATAGTGGTTTGGCAGTGGGTTACAGTTCACATTGGCAGAGCTAGGGTGCACTGAATGGCTCCACTTTTGATCAGTGACTCAATTTCATTATTCAGCCTGCAATCCTTGGTATCATGTCTCGGTACGCCTAAATGGTAGACGCACCGTTTAGTTGCATCAAAGTATTTCGAAGGGTGTTCAGGAATCCTTCCTTTTACAGGATATATCAAGCCAACTCTTCTCAACCTTTCAAATAATTGAGTCAAAGGTTTAACAATCGAGATATAGTTTTTGGGACCTTTCTTTTTGAAATTTGGACGAGGCCGGGGTGCATAGGTGGGTCGATATTGAGGAGTGTGGTATGAACTAGATAGTATAGTCATGGTGGATTTGGACTTATATAGGTGCAAGGTGGGTTATATTGAGGTAGGGGTTATAGAATGGTTTCATGTTATATATTGGAGCATAAGTAGGCGGGTGTGGGGAATGGGTGTTCGGAGAATAAGAGTTGTTTCCATGGGGTGAATTGGACTGGTAATAGGTAACGATTGCTAATACCTCTTCTTTATTCTTCTTTTCACTGCTTATCGAATCAGATTGAATTGCTTTTCTAGTTGATTGTAACACGGCCATAGATTGTATCTGTCTAGACTTGATTCATTCCTCTAAAAGTCTTTCATATTAACAGGTTCGGGGAACTTCTGACCCATTACGCCTATCATCTTTTAAAAGTAGATTCCTTCTTGGACCCTAATGAAATATTTAGTCAACTCATCGTCATCTAGCGGGGGCTGGGTCCTTGCAGCCTCCTACCTCCAATGATGGGCATACTCCTGAAATGATTCTGACGGCTTTTTCTACAAATTTACCAGGGCGAACCTATCTAGATTAATTTCTGTGTTAAACTGAAAATGGTTCATGAAGTCTTCTGTTATATCTTGCTATTCTTTCCACGTTCTGGGATCCTGGCGGGTGTACAAAGTGAGTGCCTCTCCTGTTAACCTTCTTATAAATAGCTACATCCTTAACTTCTCATTCCTTCCTACTTCAGCTAGCTTATTGCAGTAGGCTCTCAAGTGTGCATGTGGATCACCTGTCCCATCAAAGATGTCAAATTTCCGAGGCTTGTATTGTACCGACATGTCCACATCAGGGTATATGCACATATTCTTGTAATCTATACTCTGGATCCCTCGAGCCACCTAAAGGTTCTTCATTTGTTTTCTCAAAGCTCGTAACTATTCGGATACCAAATCTTCCTCTTTATACTTTGCTTCCCTCTCATTTAAGCATATTGATCAAATTAATTAGGCAACCTGGATGTGACAAGCGCTATGAAAGTGGGTTCTGAAATGGCATATACGAGTGGAACATATCGCTCGTGTCCAGTGGTATGTGCTGGTTTTGATTGTTGGCAAAGGTGATGCCATCATGAGGAAGGGTATGAACTGTGTTGGTAGTGACTGGTGGGTTTGGAGGCGTCTTAACATAATTT